GGTTGTTTTCTATTGTCTTTTCAGACACATGCTCATCTCCCGGCAAAGACTAAGGTCAAAGTTCAGCATATTCGGCAAGACGTCGTTACTCATATGGAGTACACAAATGTCATTGTACTGGTGAGTAACACGAATAGCGGGTTCTGTCACCTTGCGGCTTCCGTGTACAAAACAGTTGGGAAAACGGTCCTTTTCCTTAAAGCCCATCCAGCACAACTGATCAACAAATTAATAGGGACCTTTAAGATGTTAATCAATTTAAGTTCCTCGGTTTCGTCATCTCCAGCGATAGCACTACCCAGCCAGGGTTATATAAGATCATCTCCTTAGCCTCGAGTGTCTTGGTACTCCTGTCCATTATTTGTGCTAAAGTTGAAGTTATTCTTCCCACGAAGATCTGCCCGTACCTTGCCCTCGTCAGGTATAAGTTGATGCACATCATGGCTACAGTGATATTAATGAGGTAGCACTAACGACGGCTAAAATGTATACAGTAGAGTTGCCTTCGACGCATAATGAGGATTACATAAAAGGACAACGTAACGAATGATTCTACTATATTCCAGGCACAGGTGATAACCTCGGTAAATACGGAGATTTAAAATAAAGGGTTTGTCAAGTTAGGCAGACTGGTTGAACACACACTATTTACTTCCGCTCGTGAGCTTCTCCTAAGCGAGCTGAAACACCGCGGTCACAAACCAGCAAAACAAAGCAATGTGGTGGAACCAAGTAGAAGCAGTTCTGCTTTGAGGGAAAAATAATTTCATCTACCATACAGCAATCGATGATTTATAGTAAAAATATTGAAATGCTGCAAATATAGTAGCCAAGAGTAAGCTTTCCAACTAACTTGAATACTCAGCTGATGAACGGCATTGGTTAAAACTGGTATCAACATTAACGTAATAAATGTTAATATGTTGAAAAATGCGATAGTTAATTACTGTTATTGGAACCCTATCATAGAGGTCTTTTATCAGTGTTTGTCACATTATCAGCTTCAGACTGATTACGGTGCATGGATCAACCCAGCATCAAGTTAGAGTTTTAAACATTCATTTAATTTTCAGTGTTAAAGCTGGTCCTGCAGCGCCTCGCGTGACGTGCTGGAAAAGTTAAGAAGTCTGCTATTAACATCGGAGGTGTTGAATGGGACTCCACTCGAGAGTACTTTCGTAAGATTCACGAATTCCCTTCGGCAAAGAATTTGCCACACGCTGCACCAAACTTGGGTTGCTCAGTTGATACGGCTCAGAACTCTGAACGACCGGTCCTGAGTGGAAGCTCCGGTCAGGTCTACTTGCCCTTCTTCCACCCTGTGGGAAAGAAACTGAAGGCTGCACGCTACGCTTGTCACATGGCTACTGACACTGCCTTAAAAAGTGAGGCAATATTGGCCGACGGTGCGGGAACGGACACCAATGCCGCGTCGTTCATTTCATGAAAAGAAGAGTACCAAAATGGCCCAATTATGAAAATGAAGGAAGACTGACATTCCAAAGTTTACCAACAATCAAGTTTCCTAAAGTTTCAAATGATATCATTCTCACATCTCTCTAAACGTTTCGATCACCTCCAGAGAAGACAAAGATATGATGCTCGAAGACGATTTCTTTTGGGACGATTACTCATGGTGTGTCAGGAATGACAGTTCAATTAGTCCTTAACCCGAACTAATACTGTAGAATGGAAAATTAAAGCTCCAACATGACGTCGGTATTTAAATGTGATGTGGTTTTAAAGTCACCCTGAAAGCTGTCAGTCGCTGTTTCACAGAGCTACCAAATCGGTAAATGGTTTTCTTCACCACTTTGTATCTCGGAGTAATCGCTGAAGTAGCAAAAAGCATTTTCTATAAAACCGTCAATGCGAAGATTGACGTTCGCTCTTTGAAGGCTTTTAAGTTTTTGTGCTGACTTTGAATGCGGTAGAAACGCGTTGCATGGCTTTCAAGCATCGCTTCAGACTCGTTCAACTCGCCAGAAAACCAGAATGATGCACCGAGGGTTGAACATACGATTGACAATCAGCTCTTGGGAAATGATAAATCTGAAAACTTATGTAAATCTGGTACCAAGTTCACGGTTTAGAAGGCTAATCCCAATTTTGCATATTCATGAACTCACCAGTAAACCATTATTCTTTGAACTGGTACACGGTGTAAACAGTTCGAGGTCATCAGATGGAAATGAGCACATGAATTGGTCAGGTAAGGAGAAGAATGCTGGACAATCTGTGAATAGAGGAATATTAAAAATATCATAATATAAAATATTAGAAATATTTGAGCGGCCTTTCGAATTTGTTCGTTTTAAGGTCTGTTTAGGGGCATTGTTCTTGGTTGAGGTCATCTGTGTGGGACATTGATCGAAAGAATGCGATTTCGAGTAAAGCGGATAAAAAGAAAAGGTTTTTTGGGATGTGCTTAGAAAACTTGCAGCCAGAGCTGCCCTGTTATTGAGCCGTTCTTGATTCAGAGTAGTAAATTAGAATTGCAGCGGTTTTGACATGCAGTCAGATTGGCAAAGGAATGATCCAGAGCAGTGATATGTTCGCCAGACAGTTCTG